TATTATGCCTTATGGATTAAATTGAATAGTTGGACTATGTCTTTTTTTTTTAGGGCATTACAATATATATGTACATATATACACATATTATTATTTATATTATTATTAATTATATCTGGTCAGTTGGGATCGGGGAAGGAGACACTCACCCCGCTCCCACCCCACCCCCACACGTCGTTGCGGGTGATCAAAATATAATCCACGCAGGGGCGGATGAAGCATAGGGCTAGGGGGGTCACGTGCTTCCTCAATTTTGCAATTTTTTATTTTTTTTTATTTTATTGTCATGTATAAATTGTATTCTCTTTTGTTTTTCTTAACATGTTCTTTGGTTAATAATTTATTATATTGTTCACAACAAGTAGTATAGGATGGCAATGGGGGGCAATGGGTGGATATTCATTCCCCATCCCCATTCCCTATAATAAATTTCCCATTTCCCATTCTCCATTCCCCATGGGTATCACCCTCCCATTTTTTAATGGTATGGATTTTTCTCCAACCCACTTTAATCCCCATTTATTTTTTTATATTAATGTTAACAACCACTTTTTTTTTTTTTTTTTAAGGTTCACAACAAAAACTAAATATACCTTCAATCTTTCTTTCTTTTTTATATTAAGGAAAATTTACCCATAAGTCCTAGTTTTTGAAACGTTGAACCATTTAGTCCTAAAAGTTTTCTTATGCTCCATTTAGTCCCATTTTTACATCAAGCATGATGTGTGAATGATGTAAATGATCTGATGTTTCATTCTATAATTTCAAAATTTATTGAAATCTGATGAACATAGATTTTTCATCCTATATTTTCAAACATTATTGAATTTGATGAACATTAGATGTTTGAAATCCAATATTTTAACATGACTCTGATGTTTATTAACATTGTATCTGATGTTATTAACATTAAACTTTTAGGACTAAACAGTTGCATAAGTTATTAATTTTGGATTTATTTGGTGCATCCCCCTATATTTAATGTTAACAATTTTTTTTTTTTTTTTTTTTTTTTTAAGGTTCACAACAAAAGTTAAATATACCTTCAATCTTTTTTCTTCTTTTTTAATATATTTAATGTTAACAACCTTCTTTTTTCTTTTTCTTTTTTTTAATAAAGGTTTTAGCTAAATATACCTTTAATCTTTTTCCTTTCTTTTTTAATATATTTAATGTTAACAACTTATTTTTTTATTATTTTTTATTTTTTTAAGGTTCACAACAAAAGCTAAATATATCATTCAATCTTATTATTATTTATTTGATTCAACAACAAAATCAAATACACATTAATTAATTAATTAAAAAGTTTGTTTTAATAACCAAATATATAATTTTGAGACAAATCAAATAAGTTAGTAATTGAAAAAAAAATGTGAAAGACATGGAAGATTAAAAAAAAAATTACAACCATCTCTCTCTCTCACTCTCACTCTCTCCCCTACATGTTATAAGAACCTGATTACAATGTTATAAGAGCCTGTTTGAAGAAATAAAATGTGAAAGAACCTGTTTGAAGAAAGTGTTATAAGACCCAAATTAAATTGCATCAGGGCATAAACAAGGAATTGTTTGTTGATCTCTTTAGCCACGGACATTTAGACATTAAACCATCTTTCTCTTAGCAAATTTGAACCATTCATTTTAATTTATCCAAAATCTAATTATATCTTTAACAAATCTGAACCACTCATTTTAAGATATCTATGCATTACCACACCCAATCCATCCTCCATCTTCTTCCTTTAGTCCCCCGCGAATTTTGTTGTTTGTTACTTTTAAAAAACAAAAAAAATATTTTTTCAATTAAATTTTTACTAATTTCACAACTCCATCACCACTATTCTCACTTTCACGCACACTACCATCACCATAGCCACTACCATCATCACTGCCGCCATCACCCCACCACTATGTAACAATCTCTACTTTCACCTCGTCTCCATCAACCATCACCACCAATATAAAAAAATATATTTTTAATTTTTTTTATAAAAATATTTTTCATTAAAAAATATTTTCTATCTAAATAAATGAAGCATAACATTGGGAAACAAGCTGATTTCAGTTAAATCTGTTCATAACTAAGAAAAATTCTTTTAATTTTAAAAAAAATATTTAGCAAGACTTTGTATCTCCTTTTTTATTTTTCCAGCAAATAAATCTTTGTACCCATCATTTCTAACCAATCACGACTCATGCTTGTTTTGATCTCTACAATTTCCTTATTTTCAAATACATTCATATATGTTATATATATATATATATATATATATATTGTATAAATTGTGTGATAACATAAAACAAATAGATTCATACTCGTTAATTGAAATTTCAGAATAAGCAAACCATTCTGAAAATTACAATACATAACAAAATAAAATAACATAGAAAAGCAAACCGAAACCTACACTAGACAGTGTCCTTAATTTTTTAAATAAATTTTAAAAATTCTAGATATGCATAAAATTTGACAAGAATAACGTGGCAACGTTAATTAATGTGTATTTGATTTTATTGTTGAGCCAAATAAAATAAAATAAGATTGAATGTATATTTTAGCTTTGGTTGTGAATCTTAAAAAAAAAAAAAAATGGTTGTGAATCTTTAAAAAAAATTAAAAAAAAACAAAAAGAAAGATTAAATGTATATTTAGCTTTGGTTGTGAATCTTAAAAATAAAAAAAAAAATTGTTGTAAAAAAAAAAAAAAAAAATTGGTTGTGAACCTTGAAAAAATAAATAAAAAAAAAGAAAAAAAGATTGAATGTATATTTAGTTTTTGGTTGTGAATCTTAAAAAAAAAAAATATGGAGAAATTAGTGGGACCCACCCCTGTGGATATTTAAAGAATATCACTTACCCTACACCAATGGATAAGAAAAAGAGGGGAAAACCCATATATTTGGGTTGGGTCTCCATGTATACCCACATGGTAGTTATCCATTGTCATCCCTAGTATGATTTATGTAGTATTATTTATGAGTAGTTTTAAATCAATAGTGTAGCGAAAAATATCATAAATTGATATAATGAACTCATTATTTTCAAGTAGTTGACATACCACTTAGTGTGATTTGTGATTTTCAATGCGTGAGCATCACGTAGGTAACGCCATATGGTACTCTAATACTGTTTAATAATTTTCATTCAAAACACATCATTTACAAGCAATGTCATCTTTTTAATATTTTTTTTAAATAAAAATTAAATAGATTTTATAATAATTGTGCTATAAATGATGTGTTTTATTTTTTAAAATTAAGAATTTTGATCCATAATTTTTTGTGCTAAAATTGTTAACTTACATCATCATCTCACACCGAGCTATTCCACACTATTATAGAATTTTGATTGTTCTTATTAATAATGAATATGTAATTTTTTATGTTTCAATTTATCTCATAAAATGATTGTTATCTTAATGTTGCTCATGATTTTTTTAAAATAAAAAATTATAATTAATAAATGCCCCATCTAACCTAATTTCTGCTCCGCCACTGAATCTACCCCTACCCTACATAAGAATTAATCGGGTAAAATCTATCTCATTCAGATGAGTATAAATGAACCCCACAATCAAATTAAAATAATCATCCCTATTCATAATTATTCTTAAATGATGTTATATTTTTATATAATAGGACCAATTATCCTATAATAATAAGTTAAAGACTTGCACATAAACGAACATTTAAATCCACGTTCTAAACACTCGAGATAATTCACTAATAGACGAGTACCACCAACCTTACTTTCTTGGCTTTCTCATCTCCAATATCAGAAAATTTTCTCCCTTCTCTCCCCTGTTTTTTTTGCGGCCCACGTTTTTACCTTGTTGTTTGAGTTTTTTTGAATTAAATTTTTTAAATTAATTTTTTTTGTTTTCTTGCTTTTTGTTTTTAATAAATATTTTTAACATTTTAAACTTTTTTATTTTTTTGGATGCACCTTACTTAGTTGTATTCTAAAAAGTAAAAAATTTGTGAAAAAATATTTTAAAAAATTAATAATACTAAAAATATAAAAAATGTACTGAATTCCTTATATATTTTTTTGTATTTTTGGTATTTAGTGAATTTTTAAAAGGTTTTTTTTATAAATTTTTTACTTTTTAGGTATATTTATGTTAGATATGTCTAAAAATTAAAAAAAAAATTGTTTAAAATATTAAAAGAATTCAGTAAACACTACAACATTTTTTTAATTTAGTGACATTTGAAAGTGACACAAAACTATTCTTTTAATGACATTTTTTAGTCTTGTGGCATTTTGAACAAGTGTCATTTATACCCCTGTCATGGTAGATACTAGTGCCACAGTAGATACTTGCAAGTGCCACTGCACCATTATGGCTAAAAACTTTCAATGACATTTTGATGTCATAATAGATACTATTTGTGACACTATTAAGCGCCATTAAAAAAAAGTTTGTGGCACTTTAGTGACACTTGTAAGTGCTATTACGCCATCAGGCTCAAAACTTGTAATGACACTTTAATGTCGTGGTAGACACTATTCGTGACGCTATCAAGTGCCATTAAAGAAGACTTGCAATCTTAAAAATACCACGATATGAATTTTTAATGACGCTTGTTATGTCACAATTGATATTTATAACAATTTCATAAATGTCACTAAATCCAATTCATTTGTGCCATTAAATGAATATAAGTGCCATTGGAACTTATTTTAGTGACACTTTGCAAAGCTACTATTACTACTACAAAATGCCACTTATATGTTCTTTTCATTGACACTTTTAAAAGTTACAACTAAGCATGTGTAAATGCTGGTAAAAATTGAATCGATTTTATAAATAATTGATTATTAATTGCCACATCCCATATTAATTTGACATCCATATTAATTGCCACATCCCGTATAAATAAATATTACCACCATAGGATCATCACATCAAAAACAAAAAAAATTCAAACCACAATCAATTATTTATTATTGAAATATAAATTTATTTATATTGCAATAAAAATCCCTTGCCAAAATTATAAAATATTCTACCACACTAACAAAGTTAAAGCAAAAAAATTTAAAAGAAAATTATTCCAACCATAAGTTCTGAGAAGTCATAGTGATATCCATCTTCCGGAGAGAGAAATTATCAAAATAAAATCAGTTCCCAAATTCTCAATTGTATATATATTCTCGGCTAGCATTCATAACTTGCAAAATCTACATCCAAAAGATAAACATAATTAGTTCACCACACTACAACAAATTATATAAAAGTAACAACCGTAAGTGTTTAGACCATATCAAACAATAGCTTAAAAAATCAATAACAACCAAATGCATCAATCAACAATCAAAACCATGCCTATTATCAATATCAGGATCCCCTAACCTCAACGATGTAAATCAAATGTAATTGTGAAAAATGACAATCAACTAATTACTTTCAAACAATATTTTGAGAGAATCAGAAAGAGCCCATTTGGTAATAAATAATGGGGAGATGTCTTGTTGAAACTTCACAAGAAAATAAAAATAAAATTTTTAAAACAAGCACAAGTTTCGTCATGTCATGAATTTGACTATATAGCACATTTTGTCTAGATTTAAACAATGGAATTTAGGTCCGCAATATTCATTCCTTGGTTAATTGTAAGACAAGTTTTGCATGCTATTCTAAAATAAAGCTGGAAGTAATGTGATATATATGATTAGCTCCTAGTGGGTACTTGAGTAAGAGAGGTATGTTGTATCGACCATACTTGATGTCAAACTACCATGTCAAGAGGACTAGAAGTTGCTGTAACCTAACCAAATTTGAACTGATTAATTTTACAAACACACACATATAGATATATGTCTGTATATATATGTGTAGGAAAACATTAATAACTTACAAATTCTATTAAAAAAATTACCTGGTTAGATGTGTTTGTCAAGTGAGCATGCTCAACATGGGAACCTTTGGACCTTAGCTTTCGAATTTTCAGCTTCCATAGCATAAATCTGTGGCACCTGGTTCCATAAAGACCACAAGCTTGCCAACAACAAAGCTTTCAGGCTTTTTTCTCCAGGTTCTTGAATTTGTAACCAGACCACCACTATCAATCCACTAAGAGATCCTGGCATCACCCACTTAATTCGCCACCAATCCATAACTTAGACCACGTTCTTACAATGGCTACCAAATTATTAACTTAGAACTTTCTAAAGTGATTTTCAATATTACTAAGGGGGCTTCAAAGATGAGCTTTGTTCAAATGCAATAAACAGGGCTTGCAGTTATAGCTCAAAACAAAATATTTAAACAAAACAATATCATGAAACACTATGAATTAATGCTCATGGCTGCTCAATCTCAGTAGCCCCTGCTACAACGAAGCACTTTTAAACAACAAATAGGAAGAAACATTACAAGAGGATTGAAACAACAAATAAATATTACCAATCACACAAATAAAATTATATTATATTATAAGTGGGGTAGGAAAGAGAAAATCAGCAAATGAGATTACACAGATTAAACACCATTAAAAATAAAAATAAAAAAGTCACCTTGGAAACTTCTAAAAATAGTGTTTGTGCATAATTGTGTGTGTGTGTGTGTGTGTGAGAGAGAGAGAGAGCCCTGACATTACATTCAACAACTCCGTGGCTGCCACTTGTACATTCACCATCTCATCTCGTCATTACCACAACAAAAAAAAAATGTGGTTCAACAAAAATAAGTCGTAAAATATCAATTTTGTCCTAACAATTTTTCTTGCTCTACCCTCTCTCTTCTACTTTCCATCACAACCACTTTTCTCATCCTCTTCATCTCTCTCACACTTCAACCATTCCACCAATACGTGAACCCTTAATATTTTTATTTCCAGCTGTTAAAACTCTTGAACAGTTTGAACAAAAAATGATTTTTCCACAAAACAAAACCTCTTGGACTGTTCTATATATACAGAGTTATATATAACAGAAAACAAGAGAAGTATTTATCCATTAAACACAAATTTATGTAAGCATGGGATTCAAAATTCTCCATATAGACAAATTTATATACCCTAGGAAAGTACTTATTCATGATAAATAGAATCAAAATAAACCAAAAACAGAAAGAAAGAGACCAGATGTAACGGAGCGACTAAGAAAATGAGTCGGTTTTGATAAGAGAGGCAGAGCATATCTGATATAGTGATTGTACAAAGTAAGGCAATAGATTAAGCTTGTGGCGAGTAGTAGCTCCAAAATCTTGTTCCACTTCTCTTTGTGGAGCCCAAACACATGAAAGCCTACATGCGAAACAAAGTGAGTAAATGTTAAAAAATTCTCCATAACTGAATGACAGTTAAACTAATAATATCATGCTATAATTTAAAATTTCAACCAGCATACAAACAGAACTAAGGAATAAGGGAAAAACCCAAAATAAATAAATAATTTAAAAAAAAGAAAAATAAAAGTTCTGAATATATCCAAATTCCAGAGTACAAACTCAAAGAACATATATAATTAAAGTTCGACACAAAGTTTTATTGAGATCAAACCAATACATATGCAAAGAGCCAATCAATCATCAATGGTGGCAAAGCTATCTAACCTAGCTAGGAGGATAACCAGACATTTATAATTGTAGCATTTTGTTGAATGATCTTAAAGAAAACTCATTCACATAAACAAATTAACATGCACTTCAAATGAAAAGAAAATCTCAAAATGTTATTCAAGCCCATAAATCAAAAGCCATAAATCATTCTGGTGTCTATCTCAGGACTCTGAGAAAAATGGAAAAACAAAGAACACATGGGAGAGTGTGGTGGAGAAAGAAACACAAAGCGTGCATGAAAGGGGAAATATGATACCAAGTAAGTAGGATGTGTGTTTTTTAAAATGAGTTGCTTACAAAATTATACCACGAAAATTACCCCAAGAGTGAGGTAGCATTTTTTGTCTTCAATAATGCTACATATGCAGAAAAATTACCCACAATTATACTGGAAATTATATGTAAGTTGTCTATATTAATTGTATATAATTTGATGTTTACAGAAATCATTTTCATTGGAAATTCACAATGGGCACCACCAAAGGATCAAGATTTACACCATCTACTACCAGCCTACCATGACAGTGAAATGGGAAACTAGAGTGAATTTGGGAAAATGGGGAAATCTTGAATCTGGCTAAAAAAAAAACCCCCCCCAATAAATTAAACGTTCCTTCAATCATTTTATTTCAATCATTGGTTCATTGATTTCACATAAATAAAAACCCTACACCACAAAAAAGCAATCTAGAGTGAAATGGGGAAACAGAAAAAGGGAGACAGACAGAAAAACAGAGACCGAGAGGGAGAAAGATAGGGAGAGGAAGAGAAAAACCTCAATGTTGAAGCGATGCGATGCGAGACGAGCGAGCGGCGGTAGCAATGTGCGACTGTGGAAGATCAACGGTGAGCGATGGTGGAAGATCGATGATGATCTGTGAGAGAGAGAGGGAGAGCATGAGTCTCTGGTCTTGTTTTTGCTTGGATGTAGAGACTAGTATAAACAAATATAAAAAAAAAAATAATAAAATAAAACATTGGTGAATTGCCTCCATATTTGAAAAAGTTTCACCAAAAAAATTGATATCATTGCTGACCAATCTCAATTTTCGTCGCCTATTATATCACTTTTGGTGACAAAATGTATTTTGGTCACTGAAAATAAATATTTACCGACCAATTTTTTGGTCACCAAAGATAAAAAGTAAAATTAATTTTTTTTATTTAGTGAATAAATTAATTTTATAGGCAAATATTACTATACAGCGACAAAGTATTTTGGTCGCCGAAAATAAATATTTGCCGACCAAACCTTTGGTCACTAAAAATTAATAGCAAACAGTATGCTAGTTATACCAAATTTATTTTAGTAGGCAAAAACTGGTATGCCACGACTAACAAATCTTAGTAGCCTAAAACATGAACTAACGCCAACCAAAAAAATTTAGTCGCATATTGTGGCATATTTAGCGACTAAATTTTTTTTTAGTTGCCAGTTAATAATACACTGTGACCAAAAAAATTTAGTAGCTAAAACCTGAAATAATGCCGACCAATTTAATTTTTAGTCGCCTATTGTACAACTTTTGGCGACTAAATTCCTTTAATGTCATTTTAGTCTTTGTAATTTCAATTAAATCGATTTTAACCTTGAATTTTTTATTTTGTCTCAAATTGGTCCAATTGATAGCATTTTTTTTATTACAATTCCAACCTATCATCGTTTTAGGACTTAACCTTAACAAAATACTTGGTCAATTCAGTGACTTCACCTTAAACAATGCAATGAAAATTTTCTATGAAAGACCATAAAGATGTTATTAATTCGACTAAATTGACGTAAAATCTAAAATTAAGTGTTAAAATTGAATCAATTAAAACTATATGGAACAACAAAGTGTAAATATTATTGATGTAATTTACTCAACAATTATAAGCAATTGAAATAAATCGAGATAAATTCGTAAATTCAGAGTCAAAATCGAGTTAATTGAAACTACATGGGCTAAAATTCAAAAAACTTTATCATTGTACAGGAGAGCAATTTGAAATTTAATTTTTCCTATTAAGTCATATAAAGTCGCTAATCAATTTTGTACATATGGCAAGTGCAGTTAAAAAAAATATTTTATATTGAGTTTAATTTATTTGTTTTTATTTATTTTGTGCATTTTAAAAATTTTGAAAATATATTGTCATTTTTTGTTTTTCCAAAAAATGCCATTAGATAGCTTGGAAAGTTTTTAGCTTAATGGCATTTCTCAAAATGCTATAAAATATTTGTTTAAGACACTTTTCACCTAATGCCATAAAAAGTAACTTGCACCTATCTAGTTTAGTGATATTTTTTTTATAAAATGTTATTGTTACTAGAGTTTAGTGGCATTTGTTGATAAATGTCACGAAAACAATTTCTTGTGTCATTCTTTTATAAAATGCCATAAAATTGATGCGACATTTCTTTATTGAAATGCCACTAATGCCTTATATGTTTGTGGTTCTGTGGTATTTTTTTAAAATGGGTCATCAAATATTATTTTTGTGACATTTTCTAAAAACATGCCACTATACCACTAGTGTAGTGCCACTAAAGTGTGTTTTTGTTGTAGTGTTGTGACACTTGTTTATTAAAATGTCACTAGAGCCTTTTTGTGACATTTTTCAAAAACGTGCCACTAAATATTATTTTTATAGCATTTTTTAAAAAGATGCCCACTAGTATAGTGTCACTAAAGTGTGTTTTTGTTGTAGTGAAAAACAAAAAAATACGAAAAATAAGAAAATATAATTTTCTGAAAAGTTTTTTTGAAAAACTGTAACCAAGCAATAGAACGGAAGTGGGATTCGACAATATGGTGTGTAAAGGTGTGAGATTGATTTTTTTTTTTTTACTATTCTTTATATTTTTCTTATTTTTATGACTCATCCATTTCAATAAACAAAGAAGAATATAATAACAAAAAGAAAGAAAATCAATCTCACACCTTTTCGCTACTATAACAATGGTAGAGATTTTAAAAAAAATATATTAAAAATTTTACACAACTTGCATGTGTATGGCTCATAATAATCACACGAGTGTGGGAACTTCTTGTTGGAAAAATGGTTTAATATAGGCATATTTTTAAGCCCAAATTTGAGTAGGCCCCAAATGTTGTTTGGGGTGGGTCCGAAGAGGTGAAGACAGAACGTCAAAACCATTTATGAGTGAATGGGAAGTTGACGTCGTTTTTCGAGTCCAACATTAATTTTTTAGATAAAATTCATTTGAATTTTTTGAATAAAAATTATTGTGGGAATTTAATTTAATTCTAAATTCAAATTTTGGATTCCTAAGTGGTTTCCTAAAGTTTGTAATTGTGAGAATTTAATTTAATTATAAATTCAAATTTTAGTTTCCTAAAGTTTGTACCTTTTCTTTTATTGATCAAACTATTCAAATAGTTTAATAATATTTTTCCATATATATATATATTTGAAATAGTTATTAAATGAAGTTCCAAACAGTTATTGTGTTTGACCAACGGATCACTTTTCATTATTTGAAAAATATGTTCAAAAGTTGCAACGGTCAAAATCAATGCTTGAATAAGTGGTGCACTTATTCTTTTCAAACAATACTTGTTCGGGTAAGTTTTAAAGGTTACCAAGTGGGCTATTTATACATACCTATTTCCAGCAGTCTTTGGGTCAGGAAAAAACAATCGGGAAAAAACAGTCGGAAAATTCAGTCTGTTATTTTGTCTCATTGCTGTCCAATTTTTCTCTAGTGTATTTATTCTTCATATTTAGTTTTAGAATAAATTAAAGAGAGTATAGATCACAGGTTTGATTCGCCGAACAAATTTGTTTCAAGTGCTTCTACAGATTTGTGAAGATCATTGTATCCTGGGAGATAGACGCCACTCAACCGTAAGTACCGTAGCGGGGCGAATCTGTCTTAAGGACAGAGTGTCACACACTCGACTTGGTCTTAAATTATTTATTCAGATTCGATTCAACGAAATAAATTCTGTAAGATTTATTTTATTTTGTTTGATTATCTTCAAGTTATTTTATTTTACTCAGAAGATTTTTTCCAACAATCTTAAGACGAAGAT